AAAAGACAAACCAAAAATTGCAATAAACAATTCACAGAGTACAAGGCTTGAAAGCTGAACTAGAGACAAAACAAAACAAAAAAGAAAAAATACAAAAAACGCGGTCTGAGTGAAAGTTGGAAATAGAAGAATTGGGTAAATGATCAGGAACTAGAAATGTAAGCATAACCAAGAGAATATAAGAGATGGAAGAAATAATCTCAGCCATTAAAGATACACTAGGAAAAATAGATTCACCAGCCAAAGAAATTCTTAAGTCCAACAAATCCCTAAGACAAAATATCCAGGAAATATTGGAGACAGTGAAAAGGCTAAACCTAAGAATAATAGGTATAGAAGAAGGTGAAGAAATGCAAATCAAAGGTGTAGAAAATATATTCAACAAAAGAGTAGAAGAAAACATTCCCAACCTAAAGAAAGACTTACTAATGAAAGTACAAGAAGCTTACAGAACACCAAATACAGTGAACCACAAAAATATCCCCTAGCCACATAATAATCAAAACACCAAACACACGGCATAGAGAAAGAGTATTAAGAGCTGCAAACAAAAAAGGCCAAGTAACATATAAAGGCAAACATCAAAAGTACACCTAAACTCTCCATATAAACTCTGAAGACCAGAAGGTCCAGGACAGCTATCCTATGAAAAGTAAGAGATCATAGATGCCAGCGAGACTACTATATCCAGCAAAGCTTTCAATCACAATAGATGGAGAAACTGAGATACCCAATGACAAAACCATACTTAAATAATACATACCAACTAAACCAGCCCTACAGAAAGTCCTGGAAAAAAATTCCAACACATGAGAGTTTATTACACCCATAAAATAGGCAGTAGATAATCACATTTTACCAACAGCCAAAATAAAAATGGTGAGAATTCAACAAACAATACCACTACCACCAAAAATAAATCCAAACTAAACAAGAATTAGCAATCAATGGTCATTAATATTCCTCAATATTCATGGTCTTAATTTGTCTATAAAAAGAAAAGGATAACGGAATGGATATGAAGACAGAATCCATCCTTATATACAAGGAATGCACCTGAAAATCAAAGACAGATGTTACCTCAGAGTTAGGGGTTGGGAAAAGATTTACCAGTCAAATGGACCCAAGAAAAAAGTAGGTGTACCAACCCTAATATCTAACAAATTAGACTTTAAACTAAAATCAATCAAAAGAGATGAAGGTCATTTTTATTCATCACAGAAGAAATCCATCAAGATGAAGTCTCAATTCTGAAAATATATACCCCCAATACATAGGCACCGACATTCATAAAACAAACATTACCAAAACTCAAATCCCACATAAAACCTCACACACTTAAACAGTAGCAGATTTTAAAACACAAAAGATTATACCTTCTTCTCAGAGCCACATGGAACCTTCTCTAAAATCAACCACATATTCAGAAACATAGCAAAGCTCAGTAGGTACAAAAAGTTGGAATAACCCCCGGTATCATTTCAGACCACCATGCTTTAAAGCTAGAATTCAACAACAACACAAATTGCAGAAAACCTACTAACTCATGGAAATTGAACTATGTACCATTCTTGGGTGAAGGAAGAAATAAAGAAATTGAAGACATCCTAGAATTCAATGAGAATGAAGACAAAAACATACCCAAACTTATGGGACAATTGGACAGCAGTGCTAAGAAGAATGTTCATAGAACTAAGTCCCCACATGAAGAAACTGGAGAATAGTCACACTATAGAATAACAACAAAACAGTAATCTCTGAAAAAAAAAGAAGAAGCAAATTAACCCCAGAGAAGTAGATGACAGGAAATAATCAAATGGAGGGCTGAAATTAATAAAGTAGGCACTAGGAGAACAATACAAAGATTCAATGCAACAAAAAGTTGGTTCTTTGAAAAAATCGACAAGACAGAAAAAACTTTATCCAAACTAACCAAAAGGCTGAAGAGATCATGCAAATTAACAAAATCAGAAATGAAAAAGGGGGACATAACAATGGACACTGAGGCAATCTAGAGAATCTTCAGGTCATTCTTCGAAAACCTGTACTCCACAAAATGTGAAAATTCAAAGGAAATCAACAATTTTCTGGATAGATATCACATACACAAAATAATACAAAAACAGACAAGCAATTTAAATAGACCTATAATCTCTAATGAAATAGAAGCAGTCATCAAACGTCTCCCCCCACCCAAAAATCCTAGGGCCATATGGTTTAAGTGTAGAATTCTACCATAAATTTAAAGAACAGCTAATACCAATGTTCCTCAAAGTGTTCCCCACAATAGAAATATATGGGTCATTGCCAAATTGTTTTCTTGAGGCTACATCTATGACACAACTATGAAAGAAAACTACAAACCAATATCCCTCATGAAAACTGATGCAAAAAATAGTCATTAAAACACTAGCAAATCTCATCCAAGAATACATCAGAGAAATCATCCATCATAGTCAACTAGGCTTCAGCACAGGGACTCAGTGATGATTCAACTCATGAAAATCTATCAATATATTCCACTGTATAAACAAAGTGAAAAAGAAAAACCATATTATCATCTAACTAGAATCTGTAAAATGCTTTTTGACAAAATCCAACACCCATTCATTATAAATGTCTTGGAGAGATCAGGGATAACAACAACATATCTAAACATAAGAAAAGCAATATAGAGTCAACTAACAGCTAGCATCAAACTAAATGGGGAGAAACTCAATGTGATTCTTCTAAACCAGGAACAAGACAAAGCTGTCCATTCTCTCCATATCTCTTCAAAATTTTACTTGAATTTCTAGCTAGAACAATAAAGATGGCAAAAGGAGATCCAGGGGATACAAATTGGAAAGGAAGAAGTCCAACTTTCACTATTAGCAGATGATATAATAGTCTACATAAATGACCCAAAACACTCTATTTTAGAACTCCTACAGCTGATAAATACCTTCAGTAGAATGGCAGGATCCAAGATCAACTAAAAAAATCAGTACCCCTAATATGTACAGACAGACAATAAAGGGGTTGAGGAAGAAATCAGAGAAACAGCACACTTTACAATAGCCACAAACAGCATAAAATATCTTGGGATAATGCTAAACAAACAAGTCAAAGACCTGTATGATAAGAACTTTGAGTCTATAAAGAAATAAATAAAAGAAGATACTAGAAAATGGAATGATGCCTCATGCACTTGGATAGGTAGAATCAACATAGTAAAAATGAGTCTTGCCACTAGCAATCTAGAGATTCAATGCAATCCCCACCAAAATTCAAGCACATTTCTTCAAACACCTTGAAAGAAAATACTCTTATTTATATGGAAGAAGAAAAGACCCAGAGGAGCCAAAATAACACTGTAAAATAAAGGAACTTCCAGATGCATCACCATCCCAGACTTCAACCTCTACTACAGAGCTATAGTCCTGAAAATATCTTGATAATGGCACAAAAATACACAGGTAGACCAATGGAATCGAATAGAAAATTCTGATATTAGCCCACACACCTAGGAACACCTGATTTTTGACAGAGCAACTAAAAGTATACAATAGAAAGAGGAAAGCATCTTCAACAAATGGTGCTGGCATATGTAAGACTGCAGGTAGATTCTTATCTATCACCATGCACAAAACTTAAATCCAAATGGATCAAAGACCTCAACATAAATCTGGCCACACTGAACCCTTGAATGAATTGACACATCAGACAGCTTCCTGATAATTACAGCAGTAGTACAGACACTGAGATAAATAATTAATGAATGGGACCTCCTGAAACTGAGAAGCTTGTGTAAGGCAAAGGACACAGTCAGCAGACAAAAACGGTAGCCCATGGAATGGGAAGAGCTCTTCACCAACCCCACATCTGACTGAGGGCTGTTCTCCAAAATATACAAAGAACTCAAGAATCTAGTTACCAAAACACCAAATAATCCAATTAAAAAATGGGGTACAGAACTAAATAGAGAATTCTCAATAGTGAAATCCAAAATGGCTGAAAGACACTTAATAAAGTACTCAACATCCTTAGCCATCAGTGAAATGCAAATCAAAACCACTCTGAGATACAATCTTACTCCTGTCAGAATAGATAAAATCAAAAACACCAGTGACAGTTTATGCTGAAAAGGATGTGGAGAAAGGGGAACAATCATACACTTCTGGTGGGAGTGCAAACTCATACATCCATTTTGGAGATCAGTGTGGTTGGTCTTTTGGAAAATGGGAAACACTCTACCAAAAGATCTAACAATTCCCCTCTTAGGCTTATGCCCAAAAGATGTACATTCGTGCAACAAGGATATGTGTTCAACTATGTTCATAACATCATTTTTTGTAATAGCTGGATCCTGGAAGAAACCTAGATGCCCATCACCTGAAGAATGGATGCAGAAAAAGTGGCACGTTTATACAATACTCAGCAGAAATAAACAACAGAATCTTGAAACATGTATGATTTTTAAGTGTAACATTAGTAGAACCACATATGATTAGAATAACTTATTGGGTATTTTTATTAGTCAAAGATAAAGCTTATCCTTTAAAAGTTCGGAAATTAAAATAAATAAGGAAAAGTTGAAATATAAAATCTTAATGAAATATGGTAATTAAATACATTTCATAAAAGACATCAAGATTCTAACTTCATGAGTATAATGAAAATCAAGATATCCACATTTCTGATGATAATACACTAAGATATTAAACTAAAACACAGAGTACTTTCTCATCTGTGAGCATAAAATTTATTTTTATAATTAGGTAAATAAGAAAATAATAACAGAGTATATATGAGAAATGCTCAAAAGAAGACCATGGAAATTCTCACGAAAATATATTTGGGGAGGCAACAATTAAACAATGGCCAAGCAAATAAATGAGGAATTGTATGGGATAGATGCCCGACTCAAATGTAATCTAATAGAATAGTCAAAACTCAATAGCCAAAAGTTAATGTAAAGTTACATAAAATTCCAGAGAATTTAAAAAGAAACAGGATACCTGGAAAGGGTGAACTGCCAGACTGGACAAAGCTGGAGCTTTCTGAATCTACATGAAGGTTCCCATGACAACTGAATTGTGAGGGACATTCTTACCTCACAGTAAAATAGCCAACAAAGATGGCCACTTCTCTACAGTGTCAGGGCGACTGTAGAAAACAATATCAGTATTTATATAAGAGATTGAGGGTTAAAAGCAAATAAAATTTAAAACTGTAATTATATATTAAGAAGCAAATATGTTGCTTTAAAACACATTTTAGAATAAATTACAAAAGCAAAGCAGATACATAAACATATAAAATTCTACTGAAAATTATACCAATCTAATGAATGTGAATACAGAAATTTAGAAATTCTAAGTGCCATAGCAATTACCTAAATGCATAATGAATAGTGATAAAATAAGGCAAGGATATGGTTAATTTCTGTGGTCAACATGCCACATTTGAAATTACCTTGCACAGACATTTCTGGGCAAATCTTTAATATGATTTCCATAAATGTTTAATTGATGTGGAAGTACCTACCCTAAATGTTATTAGCCTATTGGCTGGAGTATCAGTCTTGTTTAAAAGGGAAAAGGAATAAAGCAAATTGAGAAATGGCTGTTCTCTCTCCTTTTTCTTTTTCAGTGTTTTAAACTCAGCCACTCCTACCACCATGGTTTCTCCACTGTGGTGGACAGTAACTTGAATCTATGAACCAAGATAAACCTTACCATCTTAAGTTGCTTTTTGTTATGTTATTAGAAGCAAAGAAAGAAAACAAATTAGCAGACAAAATTAGTACTGAGAAATTGGGTTGTTGCTGAAGAAAACTTACCCCATGGTCCTAGGTGTCAAGAGTTGGTTTATGGGAAAAACAAAGAGGGCTTTAGAATTATATTTTAGACGAGGCATATTAGACCTTGCTAGTAAGAATAAGAAGACCCTTCCCTGATAATGATATCAACAACTAACTTATCCACCATCATGGAGCCCTCATCTAGTACCTGTTGGAAACAGAAGCAAACACAACTAAACACTGAGTTTTACTAGAATCCAGATGCGGAGAGGACAAGACCAGATAGCAGAAACTCATAGAGACACCTGACCTGAACAAGGAGGAGCTAATGGACCCCCCAGACTGATAGCCTGGAAACCAGCATGGGACTGACTCAGACCCCCTGAACATGGGTCTCAGCTAGAAGGCCTCAGCAGACTAAGGGACCTCAGACAGTGGAACCAGTATGTATCCCTGGTGCACAAAAGGACCTTGCGGGCACATCCCCCATGGAGGGATACTCCCTTTACCTAGAGACAGGAGAGAAGTCCTAGTTACTACTTCAAATGACTTGACAGATTTAGATGACCCCTCCTGGATGATATAGCTCTACATGTGTATGGGGGGTGAGGATGGGGGGACTGGAGGGGAGAATGGTCGGGTGGTTGGGGTGCATGTGAGAGATTGGGAGAGATTGGGAGAGAGGGAGTTAGGGAAGGAGAGAGAACTGGAATAAATATGTGAAATAAAAATAAATAAATAAATAAAAAAAGAATGAGAAGGCCAGAATGATGACAGAATTATGAACATGAACTTCTCAGCTCACAAAATAAAATAAGGGAACAAAAATTCCATAAGTAACTAGACTAGAGACATTACAATTTGGCAAAGAATTTGAGTTCATTTTATTTTCTATATTGAAAGCTTAAATTAGGCTGAATTGAAAAGAATTAGAAAATTTGTTTGTTGGAGAAAAATTAAAATCAACAAACCAAATTCTCACTGTGGGAGCTTTGTTAAGTGTGAAGTTCGGTAAAGAAAGGGGTATTACGTTTAAAGTTGTGGACATGGAAATTGTAAAGAAAACAGATATCCTTAACGTGATTATCAAATTAGTAGAAAGATTAATATTTATACTAATATAGCAGGGAAGATGCTTGATGAGGAAACCTAATCCATTGAAGGGTACAGTTTTTAAATTGCAAATTGAACTGAAATGGAGGAAATTGAACTGATAATGTTGCTGAAGCATACCCTTACTCAAAAGCAATTGAATAAGCAATAAGTTGTTTGTGTTCCACTTCCAAGACGTAAAGAGGACAGTATAGGAAAAGGGGATTGAATTCATTCTCAAATCAGCAGGAGAACTTGAGAACAGTGTCCATGTAGTGCTACTGTTTTTGTAGGCATGCAAAATACATGAGTTACAGGGTTGTGGATTCTTTTAATAAGGTTTGCCAAAGTTGATGAGTTCCAATATGCTCTAAATACCTGCAAGGAGTCCCTCAAAGAAATTTATGTGATATTATGAGGAGTATGCATTGAATTAGATATTTTGTATCACTGAAGCCTAAATGGGAGGTCTTTATCAAACCCTCTCCTCAAGGCTCAGGGATCTATTCAGAAGAGGTGTCGTAAAGAGTGTAAGAGCTAGAAGTGGTGAGTGACTCCAAGTAAACAGCATCTTTTACTCACAGCAGAACTTATATGCATAGTGAATTAATAGAGACTGTGATAAAATATGCATGACCCACACAAGTTCAAAGCAAACACAATCCCAACATTGAGAGGAAGTACATGCTAAATCCCACTAAGAAACTATTTGCATTTTTTTCATGTTAGGAAAGTTAAAATCAATTTTATCCAATGGACCATCACTGGATATAGCAAAAACCCTCCAGAGTAGGCACTATAACCATGAGTAATTGTCCAATATAAAATGAACTCAATGTTTATATGTACACATTTTTTACTTATTATTCTTTTTTGTTTGTATTGATTTTTATTTTTTGAGATAGAAAGAGGGAAGAACAAGGATTTTGGTGGGAAGGCAGGATCTAGAAAAAGTTTACTTGGTGAAAGAATAGGATTAAAAATGTTGTATGAAAAAATTAATAAATATTTTGAAATAGTATTTTGTAAAGATGAAACAGGGTCAAATAAACAGACCCAATGACAGATACCAGATAGTCTTTAATGACAAAAATTCTTACATATTCACTTCTTAAAACTTTTTTGTACTCAACATGTTATCACTTATGAAATTATTAATATAACCAAAATAATAAGATAGAGAGAGATGACTTAGCAGTTAAGAACACAATCTGTACTTACAGGAGATCTGAGTTTAATTTCCAACACCTACCTGATGGCTTTCTTCAGTCTGTAAATACAGTTCAAAGGGATCTTATGCTTTTCCCTGGTCTCTGTAGTCCCTAGGAATATGTGTGGTACACAGTCACAAATGCAGGCAAACAATCATATACATAAACTAAATTAAAATACAGTGAATTTGTTGCACAAATAAAACCAAGGCCACTTCAGCCATATGTGCATGTTTATAACTATAATCCAGCATTCAGCAAGCAGAGGAAGGAAGATTACACATTCAAGGAAAATCTTCAATTCATAGAAAGTTATGTAATAGCCTGGGTATATGAGACTGTCTTCAAACAAATAAACACACAATTCAAAAATAAGTTTAATCTTTATTTATTAAAACAAGTATTTAAATTTCAAAATTGTCAGATGATTAAATTTCTCAGGTTAAATTTCTTTCAATTATCTGTATGTTTACTTATGCCAGTTTTAATATGTACTTTTGTAGTCTATAATCACTTATGTCACATTGTGTTTATCAAAGAAGGGGCTGTGAGTCCTTGACTTGCTTTTTCCAACTTTGATATTGTACATAGCCCCAGTCTCTTTGGACATCAAATGAGAAGAAGTAAAAAGAACTCATTTTTTTGACATTTTATAAACAAATACATTTGTAGCATTTCTGCAAAATCCTAAGGAAGTATGCTGAGAGTGTAAATCTATCTCTTGTAGGAACTCAAGCATGTGTATTGCACCATGCAATCAGGAGGAAACAAAAGCTAAAATTTAAAGTGTCATTAATTGCCATTCTGGCTTAACATTTACTTTTTTGCTGTAGAACAACAATGTTTGTGAAGAAGAGTGTTGACAATTTAGTGGTAGTCACTTTGCCCAGTGTTCCTTGTGTATGGCTAGGATTCTTTATTAAAGACATCTGCTATTTTTTGATGACTCCTTCAAATAGCCCTTAAGTATATTTGGCTCTTTCAGACACATCCGGAAAAGAAGAAGAAGAAGAAGAAGAAGAAGAAGAAGAAGAAGAAGAAGAAGAAGAAGAAGAAGAAGAAGAAGAAGGAGAAGAAGAAGGAGAAGAAGAAGAAGAAGAAGAAGAAAGAGAGAGAGAGAGAGAGAGAGAGAGAGAGAGAGAGAGAAACACATTGACAGCATTTACCAGAGAGAGCTTTTCCAAATAAAAATACATTCTGTGTGCCTCTGTGTCTTAGGTTTTATCTAAGAAACTCTGAACTCATTGTTCCAGAGGAGGGTACCAGAGCCCCATAAATATCTTAAAATTACCTACAATGACTCCACTTACTTTCTTCCTGACCACAGATTCTGTCTCATAGCTGCAGTGAAATGAAATAGATTTTTAAGTAGTTAGACTTTCTATTTAGTAGATAGCAGTATATTAATTACATAGGGCACTTATCAGATTATGATTTGCTATAAGCACTTATTTCACTGGAGCAGCTACAAAATCTTTTGTCTTCAATCACCAATATGTCCCTTGAACTCACATAGTAAGCATCTCCCTTCAAATTCCTTATGTTAAACAGAAATATCCCTTTATAAGGAAGCCTGCTTGACTCTAATATGACCAGTGGGGTCAATGTTCCTCAAAAAAAAAAAAAAAAAAAAAAAAAAAAAAAAAAAAAAAAAAAAAAAAAAAAGAAAGAAAGAAAGAAAGAAAGAAAGAAAGAAAAAAATCTCAGAATCAGTCAATAACTAATAGGATTTCATTCTCTCTCTTTCATCTTGTCTTATAAGCCCTATAATTCAATTCTTCCACATCAATGATATTCATTTAATTGGAAGTCATGTTGATAAAAATGTAGTTTGTGTTTTAAATGAGAAAAGTATCATTTCTAAGAACATTATAAAGGCTCAAATGCCAAATAATTGGTATTTTATAAGTATAGGAAATATGTAGAATTATCTTGAAAGCATTATTATATGGAAAATATCTTTA